AGTCTCCATTAACTGCTTTCAAGAAATGTGAATTTCACTTTCACATCTTCGCCAGGCCCCAACTACCCACCCCCTCCCCTCCAGTCAACCTGTTATCTGACTGAATACCTTTAGGGAGATACAACCGGTGTGGGTGGAAAGAATAAATAGCCTGGTTTTTCAAGTTTGCATCGCTCTCTGTGATTTTTAGCATATTTCTGTCTGGGTAAAATAAAAATAAAGCATCTACCTCTTAGAGTTAAAAGAAATAGACGAGGTAATATATATAAAGCATTTGAAACCCTACCTTGCAGAGAGCATATGTACAAACTTAAATTATTTTAATATGTAATATTTACATTCAACATCCTTTTTATCAGTCTACCACATGAAACTATTGCTGCAGAGAATTCCTTCCTCTCACATGGAGGTAAATTTCTAATCTCACACTTGGTTCCCTTTCGGGACAAATGTCCCATTCTCTTGCATATTTTGCAATTTGTCACACAAATGCAAGCTTCTTCACCTCTTTCCACTCCCCATCTGTTGCTATTTAACTTCAACATACCACTGATGGGCAATTATCACATTCTAATCAGGCAATTGGAGAAATCAAAGTTTCAAATCACTTCCCCATTCCCCATGAATTCTTTATCTCCTCTTTACCCTTTTCTTGCTTTATACAAGATCAGGAAAATTAACTACAGTGAATGTCACTTACCTTGCCTTCTTTTAGCCGCAGACAGATTCTTTCAGGCAAACTGCCCTGACTCCCAAGTGAAGGTAGGAGTAGGTCTTGATTGGTATGAGCTGTGAGCTTTCCCTTAATTTTTAACCCAGCAATGTATCAGTATTCAGCTATAAAGAATCTCACAGCTTGACTTCTCTACACATTTGTAAAGCAATATTTCCAAGTTATAACTACAGAATGAAACTGGATTTTTTACTTAAACAAACTCTGGGCAAAAAAATTATCATATGCAAAGTGTTTTTAGAGTTATCTCCCCACTGTGGTGGGACAATGCTAGGGTGTTCCAAACCAAGGGAGGCTCGTCCAATGGCCTGATATTTCCTAGGTCTTACTTAGCTCAGATATCCAAGACAAAGTTTCTTAAAGCAACTTTCAGTTATTCCTAACCCCACCAAATATCTTCCTAAAATAGTTTGATTGGCAGTCCCAGTCGGATGAATGACGCATGCTTGCTCATCGCTAGAGTCAGTGTGCAAAGCTCACCTTAATCTGCAAACTAACAGTCCACCTCCTCAGCACAATCACTACATCTTTACATTTTAAGGCTTAAAATTGCAAACCACACAAAAAGCTATAGCCACTGACCAAACCAGCTGTTTTCCGCTTCTTGCTTCTGCTAATTTTCTTCCTAATCTTGGCTGCATATTGTAGTCACCTAGGGAGCTTTGGAAGTCATGCCTGGGTTCCAACCCAGGATTTTGACATAATTGGTGTGTTTGTGGGGCGGGGTGGCTGAGATATTGGGATTTTTTTTTTTTT